CTGGGCGGTGGAGCTGGGAGGCAGGGGGGAGGGGGTAGCGCTAGGGGCCGTCACTTAAATTGCCCCACCTCAAACAAACCTGGTGTCCCCGGCCCTCGCCCATCGCCTGGAGGCGCGGGGTTCGGGGACTGGAGCTGACTTTCCAAGGACATCACAGCCCCAGCACCCGAGCCCAGGGTCACGCTGATCTCCCCTCTGATGCTTCAGGGAGGGTGTGGGCAGGGAGCGTCCTGGGTGAACTGAGCCTGAACCCCCGCGGGCCCAGCTGGCCTGGAGGGGGCGAATCCCGAGGCGCGAGCAGCCCCGCGGGCGGGAGGCTGGGCTGAGGCTGTCCTCCTCCCGGAGCTCAGCCATGCAAAAGTGCACTTGCTTCCTCGGGAATAACCAAATATCTTTGTTTAAAGTGGCGGCGTAAATGGCCGGTCGCTTTGTGGCCACGCTGGATATTAGTAGATGAGGATCATTCTGCTTCAATTGGACGCCTCTCATCCAGCGAGCAAGAAACTGCTTAGGAGGAAGTGGGTTTCCTGTCTGCGCGTTCCCAGGCTTCAAGTGTGAGCCCGGCGCCTGGAGGGTCCTTGGGCGCCTGGAGAGGAGGAGCCGCGGACTGCGATCCCCAGCCAGTCCCGAGGCATCTGCCTCCCACTCCAGCCAGGCCCCGGCCCCTGGCCGAGCGGACTACAGAGCAGCGTAGCTCTGCGAGGTGCAATACCTGAGACCCACTCTGATTTTGCCCATGGATTTTAACCGCTTTGTTGTTTTGTTTTGTGTTCTCTTTGGCTGCTTTAGCTTCCTCTCCCGCCTTGGGGCTGGGAGGGGGGAGAGCTCTCCGGAGGCTGGGGCCTCCAAGACACTGCGGGGGCCGGTGAAGGAGGGTTCTCCAATTTGGTTTTTGTTTTCCAATTTTATTTCCCCTCCTTGTAGAGGAGGAACTGCCAATGATGAACAGGCGCTTTGAACGATATAATTCAGCAGCTTAGGCGCCTTTTCCATTAATAGCAATTGTAGTAGGAAAGTTGTTTTTTTATTGGCTTTTTATTTCAATCCTCTCCTTGAGGACTGCTCTGTACTCCCTCAGTACAAAGCCAACTTCTGTACTAACATTTGCTTTCCTTGCCACCTACGTCCCTTACTAGGCAAGAGAAACAAGGGAAAGCTCAGGGCACCCCCTCTCCCCCCCAGCCCCCCTGTTGGCCCACATTTCTGTGCAGCCTCTCGTGGCTTGGGAGCAAGCAGCCTGTGTATTGGCGCGCAGAGAGGTGCTTCCGATTGTGCTGCGAAGACAAATGCCAAGCCGGTACCTTGCCCTTCCTTCCAAAGGGCTTGGGGGGGGGGGCGCTCTCAGGAAGGACTCAGACAACATCAACTGTGCTTGGTCAATGTCATGTCTAAGCCTAGGGAGCAAGGAGGGAAGACGACACTGGGTTCAAGTGAATGGTCAGAGCGGACAAAACTGAACACCGATCTCATCTGCAGGCGGGACCCCAGCCGCAGGCTAGGCTCGCGTCTCCGGGGAGGTCTTAATGTCAGGATGGGGTGGGTTTCACAGTAATCCAGTTTTTTATTTTCTTTCTCCCTCTCCATTATGTCACATTATTGGTAAGTGTAAGGAACACCAAGTGCAGAATGTTGAACATTTCTCCCAATCTCAATGCAATTTAGTAATAGAGGCAATTCTTCACAGGTTTTTGTGTGATGTTAACGTAAGATTGGGCACATATCCGTGCTTTGGAAGCTTTGGCAATCTTTAAGCTTAGTGTCAGCGCTGGAGATTTCTGTATTGTTACCATTAATACCTCCCTCTGCCCTTAAGACCCTGAATCTGAGTGAAGGGAAGAATTGGATGTATCTTCCACAGACCCTGAGCCGTGCCTTCTGGGCCTTCATCCCTCAGCTGATCTCCAGCTCCGCATCAGGCACCAGCTCAGGTGGCCTCAGCTCCCCACCTACACACCCACCCCTGGCTGGCTGAGGGCACCAGGCCCCAGAGCCACGCAGCAGGAGTTGTGTCTGAGCTACTGAACTGCAGCCAAAGCTGCAAGGAGTGGGGTGGGCGGGCTTCCACTCCTGCTCCACCCTTTCCCCCAAAACCAGGATTGTGCGACAACCTCCCCCTCTGTCCCATCTCTGTCCCACCCCAGGCATTGTGTACTGGCACCCGCCTTCATTTAGACTGGCCTGGGCCTTTGCAGTGCCTCTCCTACCCCTATCCCTTCACACACACACACACACACACACACACACACACACACACACACTTCTCTGCACTCTTTCCCAGGCGTGCTGCACTGCCAAGAATAAGCCCCAAATAAGGTGTCTTATGGGGAGGAAAGGCTGATATCTATGTCTCTGAGCTTGTCCAAGACCTTGAGAGCCCCGCCCCTGGCCCCAACACCCCTGCCTGTTCAGAGCGTCCTTTCAGCTGCCTCTCGGAGTCATCTGTAATAGGCAGCCCGGTTAAACCAGCAATTTCTTCATGGCTGCAGGAGATGACTTGGGA